GGAACCGCGACGTGTATTTCCGTACGTCCGAGGGCAGCTTACGGCCCGGCCGCAGGATGCGGATGGAGACGATGGCACCGAAGGGGCTGAACATCCTTGTGATGGTCTCAAGGAAATTCTTCTGGAGTGGCAGCAGCATGTCCTGCTCTTGGGCCAGCAGGTCCCAGGCCAGCAGGAGTTTACTGGGGGGGATGCTCAGCAGGGACTCGGGGATGGGGACACGCCGTCTCACTTTGGTGCCCTCCCCATTCACTTCCAGCAGCTCTGAGAACCTCAGGGCGTAGAGCGTGAGCCGCCAGTCACGCGTCAGGTATTTCACCTGCAGGAGAGGGGAGGCCACTGCATCCCCATGGGTCTCCCCAGGCAAGGGCCACCCTAAACCCACCGCAAGGACCACCCTAAACCCACCGCCCTGTGGTGTAGGCTGTAACCTCATCAACCTGGGGTCCTAGCAAGGCAATATCCTCCTTTCACATGAGGATCTTCATGTCTGCAAAAGGTCCCCAGTGCCCCCCTGGACCACAGGAACAAGCGACAGCTTCCCTGTACGTCCCACCACCAGCACTTCCCTGCAGTTTTGTGGTTAAGGGACGATCTCTCCCAAGCAACCCAGAGGAACCAAGAGGTGAGTCCAGCCCTAGGGTTTGAGGGCTGGTCACCACTTCCTCAGCCACCCTCCCTGGTTGGAGAACATCTACAGCACATGGAAGGCAAAGAGCAGAGCCCAGCTCTGCACCACCAGCACTGAGCCAGGACACAGATAGAATCCCAAAACTGCCTGGACTGGAAAAGCCCTTGAAGCTCATCGAGTCCAACCATGAACCCAACACTGACCAGTCCCCGACTAACCCATGTCCCTCAGCACTGTGTCTACACGACTCTTCAATCCCTCCAGGGATGGGGACTCCACCACTGCCCTGGGCTACCCCTTCCAATGCCTCAGAACCCTTTCAGCAAAGAAATTCTTCCTCACATCCCATCTCAACTGCCCTGGCCACAACTGGAGCCCATTTCCTCTTGTCCTGTCCCTTGGTCCTTGGTTGAACAGACCCACCCCCACCTCTCTCCACCCTCCTCCAAGGGACTTGGACAGAGCCAGAAGGTCTCCCCTCAGCCTCCTTTTCTCCAGAAAAAGCCTGAGCAGAGCCTGGACCTCCCCATACAGCCCACCAGAGACAGCCAAAGCACACCCAGATGCCTTCCACATGAAGGCCACTTCCCACCCTGGGTGACCAGCACCATGGGCTGCCTACCTTCTTGAAGGATGTCAGCAGTTTGATGCTGACAAAGCCCATCTTGTTTTTCTGGACATGTTTCAGGAGGAAAGCATCCTTGGCCAGGTTCTCATCAGAAAGGTAGAACTCCACCTGGGACACGATCCTCCGGACCAGCTGTGGGTCAGCGATGGAGCAGTTGCAGTCCAACAGATCAGCCCCCAAAACATCACTCGTGTCACAGAAGCTCCTGGCAGAGCAGCAGGGACACAGGCATGAGTTGGTGGCCTTTGGGATGGTCTCAACCACAATGGTACGAGCAGCAGAGGCACCAGGGAGACCCAGGGCCATCAGCTTTGCCTTGGCTACAGAGAAGCAACACCAGCCTGTGTGGTGTGAACCTCCTGGTGCTGGCAGCACCAACGTTAGTCCAGGGACTTAAACCCACCCCAGACAAGGGACACATTCCCTCGGTGACAAACACAAGCCCAGGGCTCAGCCCAGCAGCCACGTACCCACTGAAGCTCTCGAAGAAGTCCTCCTGGCTGAGCAGGGCGAGCGAGCGGCTCCGTGGTGGGAGGAGATGCAGTGCTGGGAAGGAATTCCTTTGCACAGGCAGTGGGGAGCTGAGCCCCAGGGCCACCCCAGAGCTACGGGATGACATTGTCCTTCATCTGGGACAGGAGAAGGACCATGCTGGAACACTTCCTGACTGTGGGCAGAGCCCTGCTCCGGGCTGCAGCCCCCAGCCCAGGGACAGGGGAGCAGAGGCAGGTCCTTGCTGTGTCCTTACCTGCTTGACAGCACTAGGAAGGGCAGGAGATCCTGGCACTACATCCTAGAGACCTGTGGGCAGCAGATCCCACCCCTCCCCACCTCCAAACTAAGGCTCCTGAAAGACAAAGTGAAAAGAAAGGAAAAGAAAGAAGGAAAAAAGCTCTTGGGGCCAGGAAGCTGCTGGTTTATAAGAGCAGCCACCCAGAGAGAGCTCCAGGGGGTGGTTATGGACCTGCCCCCACCCAGACCCATCAGGCTCCAGGTGAAACCCATCTGCAGGTTAAACAGCCCCAGCTGAGCCCTGTGAGCAGCTGGGCTCATCCTGCCAGGGGGCAGGGACAGTGGTACTCGTACTGGAACTGGTATCCAGTGGTACCCAGTGGGGCGGTGAACTGCTGCCATGAGCCATCTCGGTCCGTGCCTCAGTTTCCCTGTCTTGCACAGGGACAGTAACAGTCACATGGAGGTGGAGGGACGGGTCAGTTCAGGACACTACTTGGTGCTCTGCCAGAGGGACAAGCGAAGGTCTTTCTTCCTGCAGAAACCTCCCCCCACCCTGATGAGAGGCAGGGGAAGAGCCCCAAGAAGGGAGTGAAGCCCAGGGAAGGGGTAACACTGAGGGACAGGATGGCCCAGAGCTTCAGTAGGTGACGGGGAAGGAGATCTGGGGTGAAACTCATCCCTGTTGCCTGAGCCTCATGCTGGGAGCAGTGGGAGGGTGGCATGGAGATGGCACAGGGCTGGTAGGGTGACTGTCCCAGGCTGGGGGTGATGCCAGGGCACAGGGGGCTGTGGAGAACCAGAGCTGCCGTCCAGAGGGGTTGGTCCTGGGATCCTGACCTGTCTGTCCCTCAGCCCATCTGTCCCTCAGCCCGTCTGTCTGTCCAGGCACAGGGTCCAGCTGATGTCACTCTGTGCCCTATAGCCACAAGAAGTGGCCAAGGGCTCATCACATGTCCATCCTGAGCTCTCAAAACCACCCGTCACCAGCCTGGCAGCATCTCCCACACGGCCTGGCTGGTCCTGGCTGAAGCTCCATGGGCAGCACTGCAGTGTCCCCTGTCCCAACACAATGTCCTGGCCACGCAGGGCTTCTGCCAACCAATCCCCAGGCTGTGCTGCCCAGCTGGAAGCTCGTCCTTCTGGGACGAGTCACAGTGACTGGTAACGCCAAAACCCTTCTGGGATGTTGCATCTCCTGGGGTTGGTGCACTTGATGTCACCCCTCTGTCACCTCCACCTCCCCTGCCACCTCCTGGCTTTCTCTGCTGGTTGGGATCTGTGTGGTGATGAGATGGTGGAAGAGAAAGTCCTGGGGTGAGAGAGGTGGCCAAGAGCTGCCTGGCAGGGGAGCTGACACCCCTGAAGGGTGGTGGCACTTGGTGACAGGTGACAACAAGGACACACCTCACCTGAATTTACAGTAGGAGGCAGATCCCAGTCAGGACACTACAGGGCTGAACCCCCCACCCAACACTCCTATTTAAATCTCCCAACTGGAGCCCCGTGTGCTGCCGCTGCTGCAAACCGCCCCCAGCCCAGCCCTGGGTGCTGCCCGGCCCTGGCCAGCAGCGATGGAGCCCAAATCTGCGGGGATTTGCCCAGCTCAGATGGGTGATGGAGCCAGTGGCAAGTCAAAGCCACATGTGTGTGTGGGTGTTTTTTAACAGGGGTC